TTCGGTTTGGTTTCGGTTTTTATTCGGTTTTTTTAAAACCAAAAGTCCATGTATGAAAATAAGAGGAGGAACAATTGGCATGCAAATTTAGTAATTTAGTCTAATACGGAGTAATTGAAAACACATTAAAGTAGCAGATAAATTAACAAATAAAGTTTTCAAAATGAACCATATAAAAGCAAGCACATAGAAGCGAAGCAGCAACATTAACCAACGTAGGCAAATCCTAATAATCAGGTAATTTAATATGCCTTTTTTAGATGATTCTTTATTACCTGGTTTGGAGAATAAGACCAGCAAAACCACTTACTCATAGAGAGTTCAGTGAATCTTATTGAACAACTATTTTTTCTCAAATGCAATTAACGGATCTATTACATAGTATATAAAATAGTAATCATAGTAGACCTCAAAAAATTATAGATAACAATAACATCATAATAATCTCAAATTGTAAAGGTGAAATGTTACCTCTGTTTAAGAGTCTTCGATTGGAATCAAATTGTAATAGATCCAAAGATGTCAACAATTGATAGAGGATTGAAAGCTGATGAAGAGAAGTTTAGTTTCTCATGAGCTCATCTCTTCTGCCGTAAATTCGAGAAGAAAATCGGAAGAAATTCAGAACTCCGCCGCAAGAGGTGAACTGCATCTGCGAGATACTCTAAGCCTCTAACTCCTCTAAGGTGCAAAACTCAAGTCTACCTAGGGTAAAAGTCAGAAGACCATAACTTGTTCAACTACTAATTGAGCCCAATGTCGGACAAAAGCCCAAGTGTATAAAATAAAATACTTAGTCTATAATGTTTCGGTTTTTCAGTTCTGTTCGGTTCTGGAGAGCCAAAACCGAATAGAAACGGTTCAGTTCGATTTTCCCTTTCGGTTTCGGTTTTTTCTCGATTCGGTTATTTTTGGTTGCGGTTCGATTATTTTTTTATTCGATTTCGATTTTCGATTTTCCGGACCCAGCCCTATGAGTACTTGACTAATTTTCACAATTGTATCTTACGGAGTAATTAATATTGAGTTGCGATGCACGATTACCTTGTTTAATGCATTAACCTGAAATCTTACTCATAGTACTCCCTCCGTCCCAGATTTTACTTCCGTTTTGACTGGGCACATTGTTTAAGAAAAATCACTGTTTTCCCTTGACTTTCCACTTCTGCCCCTGATTTTATTACCGCACACTTGAAGGGAAAAAGAGAGGGATGGGGCGTTCTGCAAGCTACAGTGTTGCTAAGTGAACACTAAAATGAAAAGTTGCCTTTTTGGGCTTACATGTCTTCTGGCGGGAGTTTTTATCCATTCCCTCCAACTTAAACATTTTAAACATGTCAAAGTTGATAAAGCTCTATATAAACCTACACATACATAGTCGTACATCATCACAAATACAACATGGAAGTTTCTGAAAATGTAGAAACAAGACAAAAAAAAAAGGCTCTCCAACCAAGCAAAGCAGAATATCCTGCAAGCTCTTCTCACTAATTCCATAGATGGTAAGCTTTTCAAAGGACTGAAATCTGCATTAGCTGAAGAATATAAAGTGTCAGTAAGGTACATCACAAGTATTTGGATACAAGTAAGGAAATCACAAAGGGATGGTGTACCTATCAATGTTGACAGACAGTTTGCTGCAAAAAGTGGTAGGAAACCTTTACCACTACCTACACTTGACTTTAAGGAAATAGATCTTCACAAAAGGCAGACCATAAGGAGTCTGGCATCTGCTATTGGCTATCCCAAAACATGCGTGCACAGACTCATACGCCAAGGTAAAATTAAAGTACACACAAATTCTATCAAACCTTTTTTGACTGAGTCAAATATGACTAAGAGACTTGAATGGGTCATTTCACACATTGTCCCAGACTCACTCACAACTCATCCACTATTTGAACCCATGTTCAACACTGTCCATGTGGATGAGAAGTGGTTTTACATCACTAAACCATCACAGAGATATTATCTCACTTCAAGTGAACAAGAGCCACACAGAACATGTAAGTCCAAGAGATTTATCACAAAAGTAATGTTTTTGTGTGCTGTGGCTAGACCAATATTTTCAGAAGACTCAGAGGTCTTATTTGATGGGAAGATAGGTATTTTCTGATTCACAGAATTGAAGGCAGCCAAAAGGAATAGCAAAAACAGAACAGTTGGCACAATAGAGGAAAAGGCAATTGAGAGTGTCACTAAAAGTGTATACAGACAATGTTTACTCAGACAAGTGCTCCCTGCCATCAAAGCCAAGTGGCCACTTCAGGCATCCGGGGATATTTACATTCAACAAGACAATGCCAAACCACATATACGGCTTAATGACAGTGAGTTCATGAAAGAGGCTACTACTGAAGGCTTTAACATCAAACTATCATGTCAACCTCCCAATAGTCCTGATCTAAATGTTCTAGACCTAGGGTTTTTTAGATCAATTTAGTCCCTACAACAAGCAACACCAAGTACAACAGTTTCAGAGTTAGTGGCAGGGGTGACCAAAGCATTTGAGAACTTGAGTCCCTATACTTTGAACAAGGTTTGGCTATCATTGCAGATGTGTATGAAGGAGATTTTAACTGCTAAAGGTAACAACAACTACAGATTACCTCACATGGGAAAGGATATGTTACATGCTAATGGGGAACTACCTATATCCCTCTCTGCAGACACTACAACAGTGAGGGAAGTGATGGACTTGTTACATGGTAATGGGGAAGTACCTATCTCAAATGCAGCAGACACTACAACAGGCAGGGAAGTGATGGACTTGTTAAATGGTAATGGGGAAGTACCCATCTCAAATGCAGCAGACACTACAACAGGCAGAGAAGTGATGGACTTGACAATGATAGCACCCAGGCTTAACTAGTTACTGGCTGTAGGGTTTTTGGGTTTTGGGTAAAGACAGTGCTAAGGTATATTGGCTACTACATTTTGGGTTTTTGGGTTTTGGGCATAGACAGGGTGTCTTGGTTTTTTTGCTAGTGGGTTTTTGGTTTTGTGATTTTGGGCTTTGGGGTACACATACAAGATATGTACACAAACAAGACACTGTCAATATATATAAATGCAACTTGGCTTATTTGTTGTCAGTATTAGGACACTGTCATCACAGTAAACAATACACACTATTAGGCTTTTAGTCAACTTTTAAACTGCCCCCTAATTAGCCCATCAGTTATAAGGCCCAATTAAAACATCATTTAGGCTTAGAGGCAGTTAGGTCAACATCATATAAGCATACAAGGCAGCAGGTAACATTCAACAATAGGCTTCGGTCAACAGCAAAAAACCCTCCCTAATTAGCCCATCAGTTATAAGGCCCAATTAAAACATCATTTAGGCTTAGAGGCAGTTAGGTCAACATCATATAAGCATACAAGGCAGCAGGTAACATTCAACAATAGGCTTCAGTCAACAGCAAAACCCCCTCCCTAATTAGCCCATCAGTTATAAGGCCCAATTAAAACACCATTTAGGCTTAGAGGCAGTTAGGTCAACATCATATAAGCATACACGGCAGCAGGTAACATTCAACAATAGGCTTCAGTCAACAGCAAAAACCCCTCCCTAATTAGCCCATCAGTTAGGGCCAATTAGAACATCATTTAGGCTTAGAGGCAGTTAGGTCAACATCATATAAGCATACAAGGCAGCAGGTAACATTCAACAATAGGCATCAGTCAACAGCAACACTCAAGCAATCAGACCATAAATTAGGGCCCAAAAATGTGAACATCATTTAGGAAAAAAGGCTACATACTCACATAGGTGGAAAGTCAAGGAAAACAGTATAATGTCTTCATCAATGTGCCCAGTCAAAACGGAAGTAAATTCAGGGACGGAGGGAGTAACATACACACCATGAAGTAGGCATACAATACATCAATTTTAGGCATCACTCATATATGAATACACACACATATATACATGCATGCAACAAGAGGAACTTATCACCTTGTTTTTTGTAACCATGGTCCAATCTTTGTTGAGGCAGCCACATTGAAACCAAATGGTCCAATCTTTCTTGAACTCTAGGGTCCGGGTGAGCATGAGCGTACGCAGGTAGAAGATACCCCACATTTGTTGTATCCACTGGCCGAAGGTAGATGTCAATGATATTTTCATTGGAGGCTTCACCTCTTCGGTCCAAATGAATCGCAGGAACAGTCAAAGAACCAGACTCCTCCTTTTGTCCTACGAGGCATTGCTCAGATCTCAACCGTTTTCGTCCTTTCATTCCTTCTTCATTCTCAGAAACGAGGACCAACTGGACCTCAGAATCTGGGACAAAATCCGGCAACATCTCAGACTCAGGGACAAATCCGGCCAAGATCTCAGCCTCACGGACTAAATCGGCCCATCCGGAAGAATCCTCTGAGTCCTCAACCACCACACCAGCCAAATCACCGTGCATGCACAAATCAGATGAACTTTCGGCCATTATTGGCTTTGAAGTTTTAGGTGGGTGTGTGGGTGGGATGACTGCAGATGAATCGACAACGATGGAGTAGAGATTTCTAGATGGGGATGGAAGGAGTCATGAAAGAACGGAGAGAGAGTGGTTGCGAGAAAAGAGATGAATACGGATGAAGTAATAATGACAAATGGAGAGAAGGTGGAGTAAATGGAGTCGGTAGATGGGTTGGGTGGGGTAATAACTGGGGTAGATGTGTGAGGGTAATGGGGTAATTTTAACTCAAAAAATTTCCTAATATAGAAAGTGGAAGTTTTTTTTTGAGACAGCCCAAAAAGGAAAGTTGGAAGTAAATTCTGGGACGGAGGGAGTAATATATTCTAGGGATTGAAATATTTTAACAATTCATTACTCCGTATAACAAAAAACATTAATTAAATTTATAAACGCGATATCAAGAATTAAGTTAGAAGTCTTACTGAATCCAAACGAAAATGCTTTATGTACAAGCCGGTGTGCACGTTTCATTACACGCTATATAAGACTCTCCTTTTACCCTTTATTTTAATTTTTACCCCACCCACTTTCTCCCAATTCCACTCTTCTCACATTTCTCTTGTGACCTTATCTACCGTGCGTCTCCATTCTTCCACGGTCCCCATCTTCTACGCTCTCAATTCCTCCGCAATCCCTTTCCTTCTCTATCTTTTCTCTCAACTTGTTCATTCTCTTCTATTTTATGTAGTAAAGTTATTAAAACTCAACCTACTATGAAGTTTGGAGAAGTTCTCTTACGGAGTGTTCAAGATCACGACGGCGGCTGTCACGGTGGCCTTCGCCTACTTCTAGTCAACGAGATCGATGGAATCAAGGTTCGAAGGGGTGGAGGTGGGATATCTCTATGATATCACCGGCGATGACGCTGTCTAACATTAGAAAATGTTTGTTTAGTTGAGTTTTTTCTCCTGCCCACATTATGCTTGATAAAATGTTGGAATGAAAGTGTAGTTTGATAGGATATGTTCATTTTTTCCTCCTGCCCACTTTAGTATGAATTTCAACTTTCGATTCAAACACTCAATTATATTTGCAGACCTATAATGTATTTCTTATGGGGCAGATGAAGTGTTGATACATTGAATATAGTTATAAGTTGTAGGAGATAAAATATGGAGTACTTATAAGAGAAGCCATAACTATTGTTTGTGTATATATAATAATTGTCTCTATAAAGAAAAAAATTTACTTTAGTCAATATACTTGGACAAACCTAATGAAGCTAAGTAAATTAGTAAAGGGTTAAACAAAGTTAATACAAACTCCAAGGGTGCACGAACTAATCACATATTATTATGTCTATGCCCGGTCAAACATAATTTTTCATATGCATATTATATTGTCTGTGTCCAGACAATATTTTTGTCTAGACACATACAACTGATACAAGTATTAATTGTTTGGGCACACATACAAATAATTTGTTTCTAAGTATATTTGCTAAAGGTAAATTACTTCTTGACACATAAGAAACATACATTAATAACATGTTAAAACTTTAACTATATTTACGAAGGTAACTTTCCTCCACAGACAATTATTATAGAGACATAGACAATTACTATCTAGAAACAAAAATATATTTGTGAGTATATTCACTACAAAAATACTTCCAGTTTGTCACGGATTTTGTCACGGATTTCTGTTCAAAAAACCCGTGACAAAAATATTTTGTCACGAACTTTGTCACGGTTTTATCCGTGACAAAAAATGTGTGACTAAAAAGTTTGTCACGGCCAATATTCCGTGACAAACTTTGTCACGGATTTTTCACGGCGCCATCCGTGACAAAACAAGGAACCGGAGCAACGCCGGTATTTATTTGTCACGGATTCGTCCGTGACAAACGTTTTTCTATTTTTTAAATATTTCATTTTGTCACAGATTTATCTGTGACAAATGTTTTTTTTTTGAATTTATTTGAAATATCCGAAATGGGCTAGGCGGGTAACTTGAAATTTTTTGAATTCAAATATTTTCATTTTATATTTTTTTGAATTTTTTTGAAATATCTGAAATGGGTTAGGCGGGTAACTTGAAATTTTTGAATTTCAAATATTTTTCATTTTGTCACGGATTAATCTGTGACAAAATATTTTTATTTTTAAAAAAAAATTGTAACAGAATAATTAGAATAATTTTTTGAAAAAAATTAAAAAGTTGAAAATTTTTCACAGCCAGAGTCCGTGACAAACATTTTATATTTAAAAAAATAAAATAAATTTTGCGACTTTTTTATAAAAATTCAAATTTAAAAACTTCATTTAAATTTTTTATAATAATTAAAATTTTTATAAGAATTGAATTTTTTATAAGAATTAAACTTTTTATAATAATTAATACTACAAAAACAATTCATACAATCACATAATGATTAAACATTAATAACAATAATTATTAGAAATTCATACGATAACAATAATTTAATAAATATTCAATTTCAAATTTCAAATAAACTAATTATTACAACTCCAGATTGACATCATCATCATTGTCATCATCGCCAAGATGTCTAGGCTGTTCGGGTTCCATGCCTCCTCGGCTGCCCCTCAACTGATGCGACCTCCGGGAGTTTGAAACGGTTGATCATAATAAGAATACGGAAACTTTTTGGACAGATGGCTATAATTGCCGAACCCCATGCCGCCCATGCCACCCATGAAGGAAATTTGAGGGGTCATCTCGGGTTGCTGAATGTGCATGGTAGGGCGATAGGTGGCGTTGTAACGTTTCATTTGACGTTCAAACTCAGCCATCCATTCTCTAGTTCTCCGTTCCTCTTCCGCCCGTTCTGCCGCTTGTTGCACCAATTGTTGCTCAAGGCGGGCAATCTGTTCATCTCGTTCATCATTCACTTGATGAGAAGATGAGCTTGCTCCTTCGGAGTTTTGCAAGATCCGTATGCCTTCATCCCTCAAGAAGGGCACCCGGCCCTTGTAAACTCCAGTGGCCGCCAAGATGGCATCATCATCTTGACTCTCATCAAGTTCGGTATCGGAATCATCACCGCTCTCCATGACCTTCTTTCCTTGCTCTTCCTCATAGTTCTTCTACATGTTCAAAAATTAATTATAATCAAGATAAAAAAAAATCGGAATTTATTGATAATTGAAGTTGTGTTACTTACTTCAAGTTTGGAGAGGCGAGGTGGCAATGATGACTCAGCACCGTGCGGATTCCAACAATTGACGATAAGTTGCCATGGTGACACCCTCTTTTTCGAGGGTCCTGACCCTTCCTACACGGATTTCAAGTTATTTAAAAAGAAATATATATAATGAGGGAATGTAATGGAAATAATTTTCACGGAAGTAGAATTTACAAGATCTTTTTTAAGTTGATCTTGAGGCTTGTGGCCCCCGTGCAATTGTCTCTCTTTGGCTCTCTCGGAGTTTCGGTTTGCCTTGCCGGATTGGCTTCTCTTCAAAAAATCCGGATCCGTAGACCAATGATGAACGAGGTCCTTCCAGACATCATCGCCATGGAATCCCGGCTTTTTACACTTACTCCGGGCATTCCTAAAAGTGGGTCTCAACCACCCCGAGACTCTAGATTTGTATTCTTTGAGAATAACGGCATCTTGGGATGGATGCCATCAATGTTGGGCCTTCATTAAAAAATTGATATCATTTGTTGAATTTAAGTTTCTAAAATGTGAGAAATATCATTTATTTTTACCTTGAACATCCGCCACCAAAACTCACGGGTGTCGGCCGGAACCTCCAAGTAGGTCGACCAAGGTCCAGTGTAATGACCGACAACTATATTTTTTATTCTTTGCAACACCGCATTATCGTTTCAAAAAAATCATAATTGATAAAAATATTTATAACAAGTTACAGGAATATGAATTCCGTTCTTTCTAATTAGAGAGAATTAGTAATTAATTACCTATGAACCGATAGTGGTGTCACCCGAAGCGCATTGGTATTGTTGCGCTCGACTTCGGTTGGGGGGGGCATATACTGGGCGAGATGAACCTCCACGGGAGGTTGTTGCTTCGCCATGCGAGGTGCTCGCATGTGCATTAGGGTGTTGGGACAGAGGTATTTGCACATGTCCCTCATCGTCATTGGCGTCAACATTGACATCAATTTGCGCATTCGAGTTGCGTCGTGAGTTGGAGGCGCCACGATGGGAAGAGGTGGAACGGCGACAGTCATGTTCACTCATCTATAATGATTTAGGTGTATTTTGAGATATTATAAGGATTATAATAATCGTACATTTTATCATTTACAAGTTTTACTAAAACAATTTATTTTTGGAAATAATATATCATATTAAACTGTGTATGAGTTTAATATGAGGGGGTCGATTTTTTTTTTAAATTGATTTTCTGAAACTTGGAAACAATACATTTTTGTTTTAATTGCACAACATGTTCAAAAGAGGCGTTCTTATAACTTTGAAAAACTAAGTATTATTTTTTTTTGTAAAAAAGAATTTTTAATTTTTTGTGTTTGATTTACGGAAAACAGCTTATTAATTTTTTGGATAAAACAGTTAATTTTTTTGATGAAACAATTTATTATTTATGGTTTAATAAAACAGTTTGCTGTAAATTAATTTTGATAACAGTTTATTGATTTTGAAAAACAGTGAAAACAGTTTGTGTTTATTTTACGGAAAACAGTTTATTAATTTTCGTATTAATTTTCCTATTATTAAAAAAACAGTTTTTGTAATTTTTTTAATAAAAAGTTGTGTATTTTGTGTATTAAACATGATGGGGTTATGGGACTAGGCCCAGAGCCTAATCAGCCCAGGCCCCGAACTTGGACCAGCGGGCCCAAGCCCAGCAACCTAGAGCTCGAGTCGGCCCAACCAGGGCAATCAAGGGTTGAAGCCCAAGAGAGCCTGTCGACCAGCCCGGTGGGGAGCCTGCCTTCCAGCCCAGTGGGGAGCCCGCCTTCTAGCCTAGCCAGGAGCCTGCCGACCACCAGCCCAGCTGGGAGCATGCGGTCCAGCCCAACCGGGAGCCTGCCTTCCAGCCCAGTGGGGAGCCTACCTTCCAGCCTAGCCAGGAGCCTGCCGACCACCAGCCCGGCTGGGAGCCCGCGGTCCAGCCCAACTGGAAGCCTGCGGTCCAGCCTACCCGGGAGCCTTCCTCCAGCCTAGCGGGAAGCCCATCGTCCAGTCCAGCAGGAGGGAGCTCAAGCGTCCAGCCTGCCTGCCAGGCTGACCTGCCAGCCAAGAAGAGTAACGGCCAACAATTAATGCGCGACTTAATTATGTGTTTAGTTCTGTATTAATGTTGTAATTAATTTAGTCATTATTATGTTCGGCAGTTACCATTTGTAATCGCCTATAAAAGGCAATTCGAATTTCAAATACAGATATGCTATTTCTGGCTAACTTTCCATATTCGTACTTTCCTAATTCCTGCTTGAGTGTCGTACGTAGCTTTCCTAAAAGCCTACGAGCGTCCTATTTTGGACCAACATTGGTGCTTTCATTGAGAGCCTCTATTGATCTCTCACATCACTTTAGCAGGAATCAATCAAGAAATTTCAGAAAAGAATGAGCATGATCAAAGGTTTTCAGCAGTTTTTAGGTCTGTAATTCAAAAAATTGAAAAGAGATGAAAAATTTTGATCAGGCAATGCAATGGAGGTCTAGATCTAAGCCAGCAACCAGCCTCCACACAGGAAGCCCCCAAGCATGAGTCTCCCGCGGCTAAAGAAAATAAGTTGTGGAATCTGGAATTCTAGACCAGAACCAGCAGTTGCTGGAGCAATCGTCCTCGGCCCCGGCAGCTCTCTCCTCCGCCGCTGCTAGGTGATGTTCGCAGTGGCTCTACCACTTCGCAAGTCGCTGGTCGCGTCACATCTCTCCACCTCCGTCGGAGACTCGGAGCACACTCGCCGGTTGCACCTTGCCTCTCTGCTACCGTCGCAACCTCTCGGAACCCAGTGAGTTTCCGCCATTAAGGGCCGCTTGAGAGCTTTGCCCAAGATGCAGGCAGCAGCAGTATCGAGGGTCTCTGCTCCTCTCCCCAGCGACGGAGAGCCTTATCAGCAAGCAGCGAAGACGGTTGGACGGAACACTTCACCCCATTTCTCTTCGTCGACACCAGTTAGAGGCCGCACGCCGACGGTAGCTCATGGTCTCTCTAATCGACTCTCGATTTCCTGAGATTGAAGTGTGCGGTGACTGGATTTGGATCGAGCTCTCGCTGCTTAACTTTGGACATATGAGGATTTTGACCAAGTCAAAATTGGCATAGGGATTCCAAATTTGGCTTCCTAAAGATCCAGCTGGCCGAGCCCTTATTTTGAAAGATAAGCACTCTTGGAATCTCTTCCATATAATTAAATATTAAAAAATCATAAATTGAAACATTTGAAAAGATATTTTAAGTGATATGATTGCTTTTACTCTTGTTAAGTGTGTGTAATTTTAACATTGAACAACGGGCTTATGAAATCCGATCACTCACGTACACCGGGCGAGCACACACACTCGTACACTGGCCGAGCACACACACTCGCGCCACCGGGTCACGTCATATAGGTGTGGCGATTAATAAGCTCCGATATAAATGTTAATACCGCTCACTCTTGACTTCACACGAGTTCTTGCGTGCTCTTACCCTTTCCAAGTGCATCACACTCCGACCTCGGGGGACGAGTCACCCGTTCAAAAGTTTTTACTTGCGGGTTCGAACTACTAACCTCGGGCGGCGAGTTAAACTCTTATTAGGGGCCTAGAGCCACGCTCTTCCGAGCAATTTTGTCACTTAATTGACATTCACATTTCTCGAAAAGGTTGATATACTTTAGTTCTTTGGGGTTGGATTATCCATTCGAGTGAGGAGTCCGACTCACTTACTCACGGATTCGATCTTTCTTTCGGAGACTGGGTTGAGGCCTAACTTGGGAACTTGATGTCATTCTTTTCAAGTAGTGAGTCCGACTCACTTACACACCGAGTCGTGGTTCGACACCAGACTAGATGCTCTATTCTACACTAGTTTCTTTTATGTGTAGGTATAACTGAATGAAGTGGGGGACTGAGGGTCTTACCGTCTTCAAGGAAGCAAATGACAAACCTGACGAGTCTGAGTCCGACGAGAAGAACAGTTCTAGCCATCCTATTCGCAGATGGCGATCATTGCATTAAAGGCTGAGGATCTCACCTCTTGCTTCATCTTGGGGGCGTCAGATGTACTCTTTTTCCCTTCATTAGGATTTTTTCTCATTGGGTTTTTTCCTAATAAAGGTTTTTAATGAGGCATCTCCCCAACATGGATAAGGGCGGGGATCTTCTAGTCTCGGAGAAGAGCAACCAACTTGGACTACTCCCTCTTAGCCGAGTCTACTACTCGACTAAGGGAGTGGGGGACTCGTGATGGAGTAATGGGACTAGGCCCAGAGCCTAATCAGCCCAAGCCCCGAACTTGGACCCATGGATCCAAATCCACAACCTGGAGCCTGCCTGCCAGCCCAACGGGGAGCCTGCCAGTCCGGCCGACCTCCCAGCCCGGAAGAGTAACGGTCAAGCAATTAATGCGCTATTAATTATGTATTTAATTCCGTATTAATGTTGTAATTAATTAGTCATTATTATCGGTAACGGTTACGATTTGTATACGCCTATAAAAGGCGGGTTGTAATTCAGATTAGGGAGACAACTTCTATATGCTATTTCTGGCTAACTTTCCATATTCCTTCTATATGCTATTTTGCTAAAGTGTTTACGCCCACATGAGGCGGAAATGATCGTCTCTGAACTCCATGGGGGCGTATGCTCCGCCCATCAGGGGGCAGGCACGTTAGCTAGGAAGGTCGTCCTCCAGGGGTACTTTTGGCCAACAATAATGAAGGATTGCGCTGACTATGCAAGGAGATGCAAGACATGCCAGAAGTTCCAGAAGAGCCCCGGCCGACCAGCAACGATGTACACACCGATCAGCACTGCCCTTCCATTCACAAGATGGGGTGTCGACCTGGTCGGTCCCTTACCAACCGGGTCGGGAAACCGGAAGTTTGTCATCGTCGCGGTGGACTACTTTACGAAGTGGGTTGAGGCCGAGCCGCTTGCCAGCATCACACATCTCCAATGTAAGAAGTTCATATGGAAGAATATTTTCTGCCGGTTTGGGGTTCCCCTCCAAATAATCTCCGACAACGGAAGGCAGTTTGACTGCGAAGCCTTCCGGCAATTCTGTGCAGAGTGGGGAGTAGAATCCAGCCGAGTTGCGGTCTGCTACCCCCAGGCAAATGGACAGGTGGAGAACACCAACCGGACGATCGTCGATGGACTG